GATCTCCTTTTATCGAGATCACCTGCATAGTCAGAATCCATAAAACCTACAACCGAGGTTCCCAAAGTACTACTATCAAAAACTAAACCCAATTCTGAGGTACCCCTGAGATACCGTAGGATCCACTTTACTGTTTCCCAGTGTGTCTTTCCTGGTTGAGCTATGTATCTGCTTACTACACTAACTGCCTGGGCAATGTCTGGACGAGTGCAAATCATAGCATACATTATGCTACCCACTGCATTAGAGTATGGAACTCGGGACATCACCTTCTTCTCGTTCTCACTTGTAGGTGAATCTGAAGCCGAGAGCCTAAAGTGAGGAGCCAAAGGAGTCGTAACGGGTTTGGCCCTTTTCATCCCAAAGCGTTCAAGCACATTTTCAATATAACTCTTCTGTGAGAGATATAAAGTTCCAGCTTTCCTATCCCTCCTGATCTCCATACCTAAGATCTTCTTTGCTGCACCAAGATCTTTCATCTCAAACTCATCACTGAGTTGTTTCTTCAAAATAAGAATCTGCGACATGTTCTTAGCAGCAATAAGCATGTCATCGACATATAATAGAAGATAAATAAAAGAATCATCTCCTAGATGCATGTAGTACACACAACTATCATAAGTACTTCTTGAGTACCCATGACTAAGCATAAAATTATCAAACCTCTTGTACCACTGTCTGGGAGATTGCTTCAGGCCGTACAAAGATTTCTTCAATCTGCAAACTTGATCTTCTTTACCTTCTACAATGTATCCCTCTGGCTGAGACATATAGATAGTCTCCTCAAGTTCGCCATGCAAAAATGCAGTCTTCACATCAAGCTGCTCAAGCTCCAGATCAAATAGAGCAACTATGGCAAGCAATACACGGATGGAGGTATGCTTCACAACCGGAGAAAACACTTCATCATAGTCAGTTCCCTCCTTTTGTCTATAACCCTTAGCTACCAACCATGCTTTGAATCTAGCATCTTCAACCCCTGGGATCCCTTCTTTCTTTTGAAAATTCACTTGCATCCAATTGCCCTTTTACCCTTAGGTAATTTCACCAAATCCCAAGTCTGATTCTTGTAGAGTGACTCGAGTTCTTCTGTCATAGCCGTGGCCCAGCGTCCAGATTCTCCACATGAGACAGCTTCAGTAAAGTTTGATGGCTCTTGAATACTCATCTCTTCAGCTGTCGTGAGAGCATACGCCACTAATTCAGCATGTGCATATCTTTGAGGAGGTTTGATCTGTCTCCTCTCTCTGCCAGTGGCTATGGAATAAGGTTATTCCGTCTCAGCATCATCAGCATCTGAGCCTGAATCATGTTGCTCTTCTACAGCTATAGGAGCAAATTTTATAGACGACTTTTGAGACGTCTCTCCCTCGAGCTCCACTTGAAGCTCCACCTTATCCATGGTCTTCTCTACATTTCCTGTAGACTCAACAGAAACCTTCCCATGATCAAGCATATATCTTTCATTAAAAGTAACATCTCTACTAATAATGAATTTAGGAGAATCAGGTTCAAGACTCCACAAACGATAGCCTTTAACGCCATCAGCATAACCAATAAATATGCATTTCTTAGCTCTAGGCTCAAGCTTACCCTCTCTAACATGATAGTAAGCGGGACATCCAAATACCTTTAAATTTGAATAGTCATTTGGTTTACCTGACCATACCTCGTTTGGAGTCTTGTGTTCAATGGCGGTAGAAGGAGACCGGTTCACCAAGTAACAAGCTGTGTTAACAGCTTCAGCCCAGAAGTCTTTATCCAACCCAGAGTTTGAGAGCAGACACCTAGCTCTCTTCGTCAATGTTCTATTCATGCGTTCTGCCACCCCATTTTGCTGAGGAGTGTGCCTGACCGTGCGATGTCGTACGATCCCAGAATTTGAGCAGAACTGATTGAACTCACCACTGCAGAACTCTAAGCCATTATCTGTTCGGAGACGTTTAATCTTCTTTCCAGTTTGATTCTCAACAAGTACTTTCCACTTCTTGAAAGTTTCGAACACCTCGCTTTTGCGCCTGAGAAAGTAAACCCAAACTTTTCTGGAAAAATCATCATTAAATGTCAGAAAATAAAGAGCATCACCTTTGGATGGAACCTGAGCAGGTCCCCACAAATCTGAATGGATGTAGTCGAGAGTGCCCTTCGTCGTATGTGAGCCTGTCGAGAAGCTGACCCGAGTTTGCTTCCCAAACACACAATGCTCACAGAAAACCAGTGATGATGTATGATCACCACGAGTAAGCCACGTTTACTCAAAATAGTCATCCCCTTCTCACTCATGTGGCCTAAGCGCATGTGCCACAATTGAGTAGTGTCCCTATTAGCATCAGAGGACACACTTGCAGAGCCTGTCACCATACTACCTTGGAGAACATAAAGACTGTTCACCTTACTACCTTTCATTACAACCAATGAACCCTTAGTAACTCTAAGAGCTCCACCTTCGCCAGTGTAAGAACATCCAATAGAATCCAAAGAACTCAAAGAAATCAGATTTTTCTTTAAGTCCGGGATGTGTCTCACATCTGATAAAGTTCTCACTATCCCATCGTGACACCGGATGCGAACTGTACCAATGCCAACTGTCTTGCAAACTGTATTGTTGCCCATCAAAACTGATCCACCACTTATAGATCTGTAAGTAGTGAACCAATCTTTATTTGGACACATATGAAAAGACGCACCTGTATCCAAGATCCATTCTTTATCGGAACGGCCATCCAAGGGACATACTGTAAGAACCGTCTCAACAACAACGACAATATTAGCCTTTGCCGTATTAGCTGAATCTGAGGTTTCACCACGCTGGTTGTCTTTCTTCTTTAGAGCATAGCATTCTGACTTGTAATGCCCTTTCTTGTGACAGTAGAAACACTCCACATTTTTCTTGTTTGGGGCTGACCTGGACTTTGAGCGATTTCTGGATTGCCCTTTATCACCTTCTCTGGCCTTCGATCTACCTCTGGCTAGCAGACCATCAGCCTGCCCATCGGTACCTCTCCCATTCAACTTTGTTCTCAACTCAGCAGAGTTCAAAGAGGCCTTTACATCCTCAAGACTTATGGATTCTCTTCCATACAACATAGAGTTAACAAAGTTTTCATAAGAGTTAGGCAATGAACATAACACAATGAGAGGCTGGTCTTCATCATCAAGCTTTAGATCCAGGTTTTTCATATCCATGACAATTTTATTAAATTCATCAAGGTGTTCTTGAATGGGTGTACCTTCCTTCATCTTCAATGTGTATAGCCGTTGCTTCAGGTATAATCTCGTAGTAAGAGATTTCTTCAAGTAGAGACTTTCGAGCTTTGACCACAACCCCACCGCCGTTTCCTCATCGGCAACTTCACGAAGCACATTGTCGGATAGTGATAATTGCAAGGCGCTGTGAGCCTTTTCGTCCATCTCTTCGATCTCGGCACTAGTCATATCTTCTGGGTATTTTTCGTCCATCTCTTCGATCTCGGCACTAGTCATATCTTCTGGGTATTTCCCGTCGATAGCTTTAACCATACCTTCACGTCGCAACAAAGCCTTCATCTTTATCCTCCATAGGCCGAAATTGTTCTGGCCATCAAAGATCGACACCGAGAACTTTACAGAAGCCATTGTAGAGGATTGAAAGCTGCCCTGGAACCGAGAAGCTCTGATACTAGTTTGTTAGGATAATTTAAACACAGAACCAGGAAATAGAGAGACAATCACAAACACAATATTTACGTGGTTCGATCAAATTGATCTACGTCCACGGCAAGAGGGTGTATCACTATATTTCTTTCTCAACATACAACACTCATACAAAATATTGAGAGCTCACAGATTTCTCGTGTGGCTTTCACTCTCTGTCTCTCAAGCTCTGTTCGTTGATTATTTTGATATCAGAGAGGATAAGGGATTTATAGGCTTCATAAGACCACCAATCACGCCTCATGTTTGTTGACAAACAAAAGAAAAACAAAACCGGCCTCTTTATTTGACAAACAAAAGATTTCAACTCGTGATATCTTCTTCTAACCCCTCTACTTCTTCTGATGGATATTTGTCAAAAGACTGCGGCCATTCTTGTTTGTTTCTCATTTAGCACTCAATTTTTCAACCAAGCACTGTCATTGTCAACATGCTACCTACACTTTTGTGGCTTGATGTTTTTGACCAACATGCTACCTACACTTTTGTGGCTTGATGTTTTTGACCAACATATACGTAGGCTAGAACCCCCGACTAGCACACACATTGTTCGTTTAGAAAAACAAAATTATTACTGAAATAAAAAATGTAACAGTATCATTTTATTTTAATTAATAGAAATTTTTAGCTAAAATTGATACCCACTTTCCACTTTCATGATGACTTCACCACTTTTTCAGAGGGAAGTAAAATAGGCATTAAAATTTGCGTCTCTCTTTCTTGTGTTGTACTTTCGACTCTTGCGATAAAATATTGAAGTGTTGAAAGTGGATTACTTTTTTATATCTTCATTTTTTTACTTCCATGCAAAGAAACATAGCAAAGAAAAGAAGTATCTAATTATATCTTGACATGACCCTATTAGTATGTATTTCATTCTCATCTTACACTGGAAAAACATCAAAAAATGAGTGCAATTGATTTACAGTCTCTTTCATTTTCACTTTTAGTTTATCAACACTCCCTTAGGCATACATATAAATCAGATCAAAAGATGGATATACTGTGTACATGTCATATACACATTTCTGGGGTGCACAATTCCATGAATGTATTTCCCTGCAATTCACCTCCTCTTAGGCAACTGAAATGTCTTCTTCAAGAACCAGCTAGCAACCTCATCATTCCTATGGCACAGCACCCTGAGCACAGTATTCGGATCTGACCGGTTCCACCGTCCGGTGGTCGGCGGCATCAGCACTCTCACTCCCAAAACGATCGCCCCCATCCCACCTCGGCTCACACGCTGCCGTTGTGAAATCCTCGACCAACTATCAGTTGCCATCCCATCAGCGTCACCACCCCCCTCACACCTCCGCCTCCCTCGTCCACCACCTCTCCGCCACCAGCCCTCTTCCCGATGCACAGAACACCCTCTTCAAGCTATCCAAATCATCGATAATCATATCGTAGTCAGCCCTCCGATACGCCCGAGTACTCCCTCCGGCTAATAGAACCATTAAAAATGCGTCGAATGCCGCTTTCATCACCTCCTGGACTGCCAGTGGCTGAGCGCAGTCGGTCAGGACGGTGACGAGGAGGGAGAGGTTCTGCTTCAGTGTGCGGAGGCCAGGGCCAATACGGGCCTCAGCAACGCCATATGCGTAGAGGCCTTCATAGAAGTAGCGGGCAGAGTCGATGAAAATGAGGCGGTAGGCTGCGACGCGGGAGACATGGAGATGGCGGACTGGATGGAGGAGTGGGAGATGTCGAAGTGAGAGGGACGAGGACGTGTGGCGGTGGCGGTGGTACGGGTGGAGGAGAGGATTTGTCGACAGAGTGGAGGAGGGAAGGAGTAGTGGAGGGTGTTGAGGCGGACATAGAGGCGCTGGGTGCCGCGGCTGGCGAAGGAGGGGCTGTGGTGCGGTCGACGGGTGCAGAGCGAAGGTAGGTGGCAGTGGGCGGAGCGCAGGCGCAGAGGCAAGCTTGTGCCAGAGCTTGATGAAGGTGGGGTCTTGGTTGCAGCGGGTAAGTGGGGGGAGGGTGGGTATGTAGCTCTGCTTGCTCCCTGCACTCACATTAAAGATACAAGTTTATTCTTAACATATGGGACTTAAGTATCAGATGATACTAAATTTGAACAGATACGTTGATTATAAAATGATTTTAGATCAAAGAGTAGAATTTCTCTATCCGATTAGTTACAGTCAATATATTTTGGGGACTATTTGATTTGGGGAAAGAAATGGCAAAAGACAGAAGTGGGTTCCAAAGTATTGTTCATAGTAATGTTTGCTGATGAATAAGGGTGAAATTTGACCCAATAATTATCAAATAATTCATTAACTATTTGTCTAAATATTTTCTCAAACTTCATTATATGGTTGCTCAAGCAAAAGCAAATATGTCTTCGTATTTGTTTACTGAATAAATCAACTATGATAATTGACTTATTAAATCAAACTATGAATGCCCCACCTCGTCCTAGCTACACAAAGAAATTGAGAGGAAGACAAAATAAGATTTTGTTAAAACAAGCATGAAAAATTCCAAAAAGGAGAAAAAAACTACTTACGGATCTGAAAATGGATTTAAATTAAAATGGTAATTTACCTACATGATTAATGTTAATATTGCATGTTTTTAGACTCTTTACTTACCGCATGATGAGACAAAGGAGGTGTAATCCTGGAAAAGGTTTTCCAGTCCATCAACAAGATCCTGAACCAATTCCTCCCTCACCGATGAAGGGATATCAATAAATTCATCAACTGTTACCTTCACAACCATCATCAGATCCACAGCAGACTGTGCATAGGGCTCTGATTTAGACTTCGGATTCCAACTCTGTTGTTATTGCAGACCAACCAGTTCATCCTCATGAACAAAACTTTGCATATGTAGTAAACAAAACATACAACTTAAAATGCTGGATACCAACTCACCTCAGTTTCTTTCGCTCTTAAGAAACACTCCCTCCCGATCCTTAGCCTCTCGTTGATCCAATTCTTCATCAGGTTCTTTACAACAGAATCAACTTCATAGGGAATCATCTCTGTAACAACCCCCTTTCCTCCATCATCACACTCTGATGAGTCCTCAACAACCATTTGGATCAATATCTTCTCGAGTTTTCCAGCAGTTTGCAAGACCCGAATCGATTCATTTGTCAGGGTCGTGATTCTTGCCATGTACTGCTTTAGCACAATACCGAAGCAGCTGTGGATGGTGGCCACTGCAACTGCAGATGGGACAGGATGCCATTGCTTCAGGAGGGGGCTGAAGTTCTCTTTCTCGTAGATGGCTAGGGCTTTGATCTCCTTGGTGAGTTGCAGTAGTACTTCATTTGGATACTCTTCTATTTCCATAACCGTGCTGTCTATTTGCCAATGACCATTTTCAAATATCTGCATGTATCGAGACTGCATGAGTTTCTGCCTTGATGTTGATTGTATTATAGTTCATTATGAGACGAGGAAGGCAGATATTAATTATGGGAGTGGCTTTAGTCCTAGGACATAAATATGCTAGTTATGCCCATGCATATAACTAAACACTATGACATCAATTTAGATTACTCATTCCATTCATTTTGATCTTCATGCCTTGAATGATGTATAAACAAAAAGCTAGGCATAAAGAGTACTCATTATTTGTGCACCATGTGATTGCAAACTAACTGTTTTCTGTCAATGCAACTGAAAGTAATACATGAAAATGAGTCAAAAAGTTGAAACATCAAAAATTTTCAGTTATAGATGTTTTAAGATATGTAGATCTTGATGAACGGAATGGATCATTCCTTGAAATAGCTCCATTAATGCATGAAGAGGTCTAGTATTATCAGAAACCGTTCATTTTCACAACCACTTGATACATGAGCAACATATACCCACTATACATGTTTTTTTATTTATATACCTTTTAAGGTATGTAGATCAAATGAACTGTTATAATTGATGTCTTATCATGTAGTTCCATAAGTGGTAACTTAAACCACTCCCATTAATTAAAACCATTAGGGAGAAAAGGACTATTGAAGCTGACCAAATAGAACTTGGCAACAGTTCATATAATAGGTGACTGTCCAGGATTAACTAACCTTAGCGAAAGCACTCTTCAGAGAAGACCTTATGTACATATCCACTCGACTCTCCAACAAATTCATCGTTATCCCACCATCCCGATCCATCAGCAACCCCCCTCGCATACTAGGGACATCTTCACTAATTTTTGCTATCGACAACGCCAAACTCAGCACATTCTCCATGGTCCCAATCAGCCCCTTCTCAAACCCCTCATGGTAGTTCATCAACTTCTTCTCTGCCCATCCCTGCATCGAACTCAAAGTTGCTGAAAGTATCTTCAGATAACCAGGCTCCCTGTCAGCTTTTTTTATATCGCTGGCCACCTCTGTTAGCATTGCCAGTACTGCACACATCAAGTCTGGCTCAATTTGACCTGTGATCACATACTGCTCAAAAAGGGCCCAAGTGAAACATACATCATGGATCATTTTATTAATACCCAATACCACCCAAGTCTTCTTCATTAGCTCTATTAATTCATCCAATTCATCCAAGACGACAGTCTCATCGCGTAAATCAAAGATTGAATGTATTAGAGAGAGATAGAGGTAGACATTGAGTGGATATCCATCGGCCCAGTGACAAACATCGCTGGTAGGGAAATTGTTAGGGCTTCTCCATGCCAATGTGAGGACAGAACTGCAGAGGGTGCACATTGCTTCAGAGTTCTTGCTCGTGTCGATGGGTTTGAGCTCGCTCATTTGGACGACTTCGCGAAGGCGGAAAGCGGCGGAGTTTGGGTGGTCGAGGGGGGTTGATGGGTGTAAGCTGAGGCCTGTTTCTAAGACCTTGAGTTGTCGGCGTTGCCAATGGTGGTACTCGTTGGTGTCAGTGAATTCGGATGGTTTTAGCTGGCGGAGGAGCTCTAGAGGGAGAACGATAGTTTCTGCTCTTCTGCCCGTCTGCGACAGGGATTGAAAGAGAATGTTATCAACATATACTTGAACTTAAGTAGTTACATGATAACTTTTACATGTAAATTTATGGACTTACACACTCTACTCAGAAAACATTGCACGGAGAGAATTAAGCGTGTGGCTCGTATAGTTGCAAGTAGAGATGTAAAGTGATAAGATCATGATAAGATGACAACATTTTTGTATGAACATGTGCCTGTGTAGGATGGAGCACATCAATGGCAAATATATTCCTCTAAAAACATAATGTGTATATATGTAGACATTGCAAATTCGTGAAAATGCATGCGCACACTTTTCTAAAATTCGAAAAGTAGGATAAGAAAGTATTCTCCACATTTTTTAATCCATTGTACAGAGACGAAGACTCGTCAAATTAAATAGAACTTAATGTGTCTCTTTTTTTTTAATAACGAAACATACCTTAAGTTTACCAATTTAATATACAACTTACTGTTTCTTGTCATCAGGGTTGCATGGATATGCGTAGTACGGGTATTAGTAGGGGTATGGGTATTGTATGTGTGTGTATTAAAGGGATTTGGATCCTCTCCACTACAAAAAAGTAGTGGAGAGACCACAAATTTTAATCTCAAGCGTTGATTATTTAGTAGACGGTTATGATACAATCTAAATCTATCACTTACCATACCCCCGTGTATTTGTACTCATTCCTAATTTGCTCTAAAAGAAAAAATCATAACCATCAACTAGATAATCAATGGCTGTGATTATGTAGTGGTCCCTCCACTATTTTTTTTGTAGTGGAGAGGATCCGAATCCGTATTAAAGTTAATAATGGGAACGGGACACAAGAATTTTGTAAAATGCAGGGTAGAAAGACACGGCTCTATGCCTCTATGTGTGTATTGAAGTTAATAATTTACATGATATCATCATTGTTTTTCAATTCATTATTACCAATGTTTCCCAATCACTTTCCAATGAAACACAGAGGACATTTGCCTCGATATTACACAAATGCTTTTTTTTTCGTTCAACACGTCTGTTTAATATGGTAAATGACGTTGCAAGATAGGTTTATGGTGCTTTATCATCAAACGTTCTACTTTGGTAGCAATAGTTTGTACAATAATCCATGGGAAATAACATTGTAGGTTTGTTTTTTGTAAAAGTCTAAATTGCACTTAAATGCCCTAAAGTTTAACTAACCTTGCACACAAGTGACCCCTCTTTTAAATCCGAGCAAAAAATGCCTCAAAGTATTTAATTATTATAGATAAATACGCCATCGTTAAAAAAAATGGCGTTGACTTTTCTCTCCATATCCAATAATATCACATAACAAATGGTACTAAAATAAAATTTTTAAAAACTTTAGGATATTTAAGTGAGGCCATTTATAAAAATGAGGATATTTATATATAAGATTGGGTAGACGTGTAACATTTTGAAACTTTGAGATACTTTGGGGGCATTTAAGTACACGGCACTGAAATAGGGGGCATTAAAAAACTTTGGGATACTTTGGGGCATTTAAGTACACGGCACTGAAATGGGGGTATTAAAGTACAACGTTGGTGAAACTATACCGCATTTAAGTGCAATTTAACCTAAAAACAAATTTCATCTTTTTGAATCCAAAACCCATCAACATCCAGAAAGTTTAATTCTTTTACCTGGCCAACGAGAGCCCTCATAAGAGCCCTCCTCAACCTAGTGTCCCCTACCTCGCCACCCGCCATCTGCTAGCTCATAATCTCCGCCGACGTCATCCCCTTCATCGCCGTCCGCGTCTTCCCCTTCTTCGGCGACCTGAGGTCCCAGCGCCCTCACATCATCCTCGTCGGAGGCGGCCGCCTTCCTCGCCCCCCCAGCCCCAAACCCCTCTTCACCCCTGCTGCACCACTCCGCATGATTGCCCCTCCCTTCCCTCCGGCTCCGCGGCCTCCGCCGTCATCGGAGTAGACGTGTCGAGCCCGGCCGCCGAGCCCGGCGGCCGAAGGCACGGCAGAGGCGAAAAGAGACCTCGTACACGCGGTCTCGCGAGCTCTATCGACGCGAGGGGGTCGATTGGGCCGAGGGACTGAGGCGGCGAATGGTGTGCAGGGACAGTCCGTGAGGGTGCCGGGCGCCGGCCCATCCTCGAGAGAATCCGGAGGCGGCAGCGCCGCTGGCGGTGCCCGCGGAGGATTGAGAGGAGAGATAAGGGAGAGAGGAGGAATGCAATGGAGACCTTGGGGGATTTGAGAGGGCTGATGGGGGAAATTTGAGGGGATTGAGAGAGGATGCTCTTTATTTTGGGGAGGGAGTTTTGTAGAGTATACTCGCGCGAATGGTCGTGGTAGATTTTTTGAAATAATATAGCCTATTTCTGTAATATAGTCACTTATTTTTGATCTAGTCCCACATCTTAACGTAATTGTTATACTAAGTATCAATCTTGAGGGGTGTTACGACGGAGCGAATACGGCTCGGGATATGACACCTTAGCCATGATCCATATCCCGCTTATCTCCATCTCGGATACGGATACGGATACGAATATACGTCGGTAAAAAAATTGCATATCCATGATCCGCGCAAAATCGGATACGGTTACGGATATATTAGTGCGGATATATAAACGGATATGACATGGCGAGATAATCGAACGGATATGATGAAACTAGAATCGTATTCAGAAAAATATAGTCATGTAGATAAAAAAGAGTTCGTTAAATAATGTTCAATTATGATTGAAACGCTAAGATTAAGACATCTTGATCATCAAAATTAACAATAGCGAATCACATAATCTAAGAATCGAAAACTATCTAAGATGCTATTAACAATATGATATTAACGGATATTTTCGGAATACCGGCGATACAGATATTTCACTACAAACACATAATCCGCAACCATACTCCTATCGTAATAGTTCTGGAGTAGAGCATAATTCGCATCCTCTTTATAAGGATTACGGTTAGCACGATTTTCCTCGATACAGGATAACGGTTTGCCACCTAATCAAATCTAAAAATTAGCAGCTTAAGTCCCTAAATATCCCTATAGACCTTTGCAAATTGTCCTTTAAGTTTAAATGAAATATTCTCGTCAACCTTCGAGGCGCGTTCAAGTCAAATGATAATTTTACCTTTCTATTATGTTTTCCAACCCATTTTTCAATGGGTTTAAACTCAATACCTTACCCACTTTAAATAAAAAAATCTAAATCAACTTGAGTTCTTCTTCTCTAACTTAAAAAAAAAGCGCCATAAATTAAGGTTGAGCTTCACAAAGGCTTCAAACAACAGGGAGAGTGGTTTGGTAATTACAAATGTTGGGTTAGGAGTTAACCCAAACATGGTTAGGTTTTTTAGCTAAAATACTAGTGGAATGAACATTTTGCAAGCTCTTATATAATTTGAGCGAATAAAATGCTAATCCGTCCCCCACATAATTGAAATTGTTATAAGGTCATTCAATTTGTATCCGTTAACCCAATCATTGAAATTAGTGCTTGGAGGACCTAACATCAATTCCAATGATGTAAGGGATCAAAATATTAGGGTTCTGTTTGGCAAAACTAGCTGAAAGCTGCGAGATTATAGCTAAAAGCTGTTAAGCTAGCTGAAAGCTGTGAAATTGTAGCTGAAAGCTGATAGCTGTATAGCTAGCTGATTGACTAGAGCTGTTTGGCAAAAGTAGCTATACAATTAGCTTAAATTTGTTAAATGACTAAAAAGGACATGTAATATTATTGATATAAAATTAGAATTATTAGGGGCAAAAACGGAAGAAAAAAATTAGCAGCTCCTTCCCAAAGACAAACGCTACTTGAGGTAGCTTTTCAAAAGCTACTTACAAAAGACACAATCTCCAAAATAATCTCCTCTTATTTTTTGTCACCAAACAACTCTACTAGTTTATTGACCAAGTCAATAAGACACAATCTCTTAGATAAGATACAATCTCTTGTTGCCAAACAGTGCCTAGAGATTTCGTAGAAAAACTTTTGAATTTTTTCCCCTTATATATACCCTCCAAATATTACGCTTTAAGGGACTCGGTGAAAATGGCCCCCATTCCCTTTTTATAGATAGCTGTGAACATGGTTGTAATTTTTATAATTAATATAAAACTTAGATTTTTTTTTTTTTTTCCAAAAGAGTGTCTCATTATAGTTTGGAAGCAAAAGACCTACTTTTATTTGAAACTTAACCTTAAAAATATCTATAATCTAAAGGGTACATATTGGAAAAAAGGGTTAATGTCACATAACACCCTTAAACTTTGTGGGGTTTTCATGTACTCTTGAATTTTATTTAGCTCACATAATATCCTGAACTTTAGGGTATCCCACAAAAACTCCTCCGACCTTTAACATTTCTCACCAAACTCCCATACATGTAATTTGCCAAAAAAAAACTCTAGGAGAAAAAAAATTCTCAAATTCTAGCATATGTTAGCAACTTATATGCTTTCCTAAATTCTAGATTTTTCTCTACAGAAAATTGTAGTTATTTTGTAAATTTAATATAGGAGAGTCTAATGAGAGAAGTTCAACGTTAACTGGGATTTTATGAGACGTCACATAATTTAGGGGGGTTAAGTGGGATAAGTAAAGTTTAGAGGGTTATATGAAAGCCCCCAGAGTTTGGGGGAATACGTGAAATTAAATTCAAACTGCAAAATGTCATTCTCTCCCTCAAAGCCTCAATCATCCCAAACAATTTTCACAAAGCTGGGCGAAATCAAATTGCCTTACAGACTCTGTCAAAAAGCACAATATTACATCAATTCTAGGGTGATAATTGTCACGACCCCAACTTTTAAACTAGAAGGAATATTGGGGTTGGACTAAACCTGTGAAAATATCCTTCAAAAATCTACATTCATTGAAAGACCACCAAAATAATCTCACAATTAAATTAAAACCAACAACAAATATTATCTATAATCCAAATATCAATATTAATCCAATTAACTTGAGATAAATAAATATTTCCCAACTTGAAAACTCAACCTAAAAGGAAGAATCTTATCATTACAAAACTCCCAATAACAATTAAACATCAAATACTAATTTAACATCCACCTATAAGAAATTTAGCAATCCGCAAATTTATTCATTGCTCTCTTCTAAGAATTTAGAAACCGCCAACTCCATCTAATCTCGAGTCTCTGAAAAGAATGAATAACACAATGAGTTCACAACTCAATAAGTGGATAAATTTATACATTAAATAATAATTTTGCAAAAACTCAAATAATGAGAAGGAAAATATTAAAATAATAAGAAATCATCAATGAACACTAATTGTTGATGTTAAGTAATCAAACAGTCAAATATATGGTGGGAGTGAGATTGATTAGGGGCCGCTCGCTTCTCCGAATATCTAGTTTTGAGTTGAGTTGAGTAGCTTCAGCCTGCACAAGTAGAAACTCGTGAGAGAACGGGGCTTAGTTCCCCGTGGTTCCTCTGTCAGTCAAGTCAGTTGATGAACTTGAGTGGGAAAATAAAGAACTGTGTGAGTTCTTAAGTGTAGTCCAATATACTTCTCAGATATTACTTGGAAAAATAGTCTGAAAAAAATCCCCTCGAAAATTGCCCTCTTCATGTTGAGAATAATACCTCTATTTATAGTAGTGCTGAAAAGGTAGAACGGTCACTTCGGTCGAGCACATGATGGCGGCAAATAAGTATGGTTTGACAATTGCGTCAGCACCTACTTTACAGGTTTCGGTGGTGAGTGGAGGAGAGATCACCTCAGCATGTAATATGAAGTGATTGGGGGCATGGCGGTGCCGACGTGGCCCGATGTATCATGAAGACTATCAGGACTAGAGGTATGATAACGTTTGCCAAACATTTAATGTAACACCGACGTGCTGTCAGCAGGAGAGGCTTGATGTTGAAGTCGTCCTTTAACTTGATCGAGAAGCAATGCCCTTCGAGTCAACCCCCGCGAGGCGTCGAATAACTGGTTGAGTAGGCTCGTACGTAGCGAGTCGTCTTTGACAAGAGGGCTAACAAGTTCCGACATTTGAGTCGATCTAAGGAGATGTCGACTCGGCGGGTCGACTAAGTCGAGATTCTTGGTTGCCCTGACTGTCAATTTGATTTGAGCGGTGCATGTAAGGGGACACATGTCCATTACTGGCAAAAGGCCGTACTTTAGGACTGAAAACACCATAACACTAATATTTCATGAAAATATTCGAAAGCTTAATAATCATGAAATGAAAATAAGCATGTCACGTCTCAATGCAGTCAACACTTAATGTCCTAGTTGACATGGTATCCCCACTTTTATTAATCCCATGGTACTAGGGTATAGAGACTCAAAACTTAGGTTTAGTCGCTAAAATAACCTCATAGAGGCACATGAACCCTGTTTAGATGGCTTACTTATCCCCGACATATACCAATATATTGACTTGAGATGCATATGCTTTGAGAGCAATGAACAAAGTTCGTATAATCAAATATTTTATAAAGTAATTCCAAAGGTCAAATACTAGTAAAACCAACTATATATGCATCTCAACCTACTACTCTAAGAAAAGACATAATTGTCAACAAAGAACATAAAAAAAGCTTATATCAAATGTCCATGTGCATCAGATCCAAACAACACAATAGGAGAGTAAGTCCAAAGGATATATAATCCATCAGAAAAACATACATATATACTTACTATCATTTCTTAGGAAAAATACACAATTCCCAGTGCATAAATTCATAAGTTATCTTAACCCGAAAGACAAACAAAAAAATGTTC